TTTTTGGATGGGGTCTAGAAAGCCGACAAGCATCGTCGCTAGTCCTTTGACGTAGTGTCTGACCGTTTTGATAGTTGGACTAAGACTATGCGTGATGTACATGCTTTTTGCATAAGGAGACTGAGGTTTTCTTCTCCCTCGGTGAGTACCGAATGCAGAAGCTGATCTACTAGAGGCTTCGTCATATGCTCCGGTATATGGAGCTTGATAAGCTGGACCTTCCACCCAAGATGAGGATCTTGAGGACGAGGTGGATCTTCCCCTCTCCGATAGAAAAGATCATATATTGAGCTCTGATATCAACGAGGATGATGAAGACGTAGACGAAGCCATCGAGAACACTGCAGACTCTCGGGGTGGGGATGATGATCATTAATGGTTTAGGCTTTTGTAATATGCCCCACCCCTTTTTTAAATGGCCGACGTGCCCCCATTTGTATCTACCATTTTCCAATAAATGAAATTATCTTTTGTCTTTGGACTTGCACTTTTATTTTCTTGATTTGTCAATGCTCTAGTATACATAGAGGGGGGGTCGATTAACTCCTTGGCATCCATGGCACTTAAAGCTAATTAATCTGATATGTACTTAGCCAAAAAATGGGCTAGTGTATTGGAGGATGTTTCTTTTAGCTCGAGGCCGACATTGCGTCGTGCCCTCAACTTCTTTTTTTGCATCTCTTTACTCTTGTGTTTTAAAGTGAGAAGTTTGAAGGAGCCTTTTGTGGACTTAGACGAGGCGAGACATGTTGCCCCTCATCTATGGGGGCTTTCCTGCACTTAGGGCTTCCCGGCCATTTCCCCATTGGGGACCAGAGTATGGTCATTTTGACGCTTGCCGCACTAAGTCCCCCGGAAGTGGTCCTAGATGTTTGGAGTAATTTGTCACTCAGACTTTATTTCATACTAGTCGTCCTACATTTTCGAGAGCACGACACAGTAAGCGGCTCCTGTTGGAACATCAGTCAGTCGTTTCAGGCTTCCTGACATGTTGTCTGTTTAAACAATATTTTGATAAGCTAAAACTAATTAAAATGAAAATGATATATAGATCGGGACTCGTACAAGAACAAATAAGGAAGATGACAAGTAAACAAATAAGAGTGTAATTCAGTTTGTTATTCGAATGTGAAGATGCTGATTACAATAGGGGATGTCCTGTTTATAGGAAGGGTGATTAATGGCCATTTGTCCGTTACTGGCGGTTTAATTTGATGGTTCCGACCCGACGGTTTCACAACTTGTCATTAATGTTGGCCAGCTCAAATTGAGTAACCACCTACCTTAATTACGTTACTAATTACAATAACAAATATAAATCTGTTATAACAGTCATCATTAAGCCTCATGAATGTATCATTAACTTATGCGGTCAACCCTCTTAAATGTAGAATAAACTGTCACATTCTTGCTTTAACATTGTCAGCGGCCACACTTTGGGATTTGATATCGCGGGTCGCCGAGGTGACCCCATAGGTTTCTGGTTTTCTTTTTGAATCTTTTAAGATAGAGGAAGTGTGTGTTTTATTGATAGGTGGCGTGAGGTCGAGGGTGAAGGTCTATCAATAACCCTCGAAAGAGTTAACTTGTAAATAAGCTTTTGACCTCGGGGGTGAGGGTTTAGCCCGTCAACGCCATCTTAGGATTTTTGATAGAACTTTACCAAATGATGTACATTCCACGATTGTGGTACTTCAGACCCATTTGGGTACCTGAGTTTGTAAGTGCCAACCTTGATGATGGTGTTGATTATGTACGGGCCCTCGTATTTCAGAGTGAGTTTCTCCCTTCTGTCGGCTTGCTTGTCTATTGTCTTCGGGAGGCGTAATCTCCTACATACTCAAAATTCCCTGAACCGGACTTTGGCGTCGTAGTAAGATTTGACTTGCTGTCGGTAGTTCTCGGCCTGGATAAATGCTTGCTCCCGCCGCTCAGAGACAAAGTGCAAGTCAATCCTCATGCTTTCCTCATACTGCTTGATGTCATACTCCTCGACTCGTTGGGATGGTAGGGTGACATCTGTTGGTGCTTTTGTTCAAAATTATAGCAGAAAGCAAAAGGTGTCTCTCTGGTGTCCTACCTTGGGGTGGTGCGGTACCCCAGAGTATATTGTGCAGCTCATATACCCCAACTACCCACCTCGTCTTCGAGTTTCTTCTTGAGGGTAAGCAACGGAGGAGAAACTTTGTTTGATGCCCCAAGCCGCTAGGAGTTCTTGACAAAATGCGGCTTTCAACTGGGTGTCGTTGTCAGAGATGTTTTGCTAAGGGAAATTGAAGTAGGTGAGGATGTTCGTGAGGATGAACTTCTGGCACCAAGCCTCGATGATGTTGGAAAGTGGTCCCGCCTCAATCCACTTGGTGAAGCACTCGATGGTGACGATGGTGATGATGATGAATCTATTTTTGTTAGCTCCCCTTGGTTGGGGCCTAGCTAGTTTAACCCGTCACCTTAAAAAAGGAATTAATGTGTTTTCCAGGATGTAATTGACTGCTAGTCGACCAAAAGAGAATTGGAAGTATTGGCAAGCAGTGCATTTCTTCGTGATCTCACCACAATCCGTGGCCATCGTCGACCAAAAGTACCCCTGGATGATGAGGCGCCTGGCCGTGCTGAAAGATCCTTGGTGTGATGAGCATATGTCGTAATGGGCCTCCTCCATGGCCACCTTGACCTCATCTAGGTGGAGGCATCAGAGGATGGTGCCATTATATGATCTTTTCTAGAGCTTCCCGACCTCAATGGTGTAACTCGGCACTCTGATTTTTGCTAGTTTGGCCCTCTCCTCGTCCTCTAGTAGTTCCCTAGATGAGGTGTAAGTGATGATGTTCGTTTATCCAATCCGAAGAGAACGTGTTGGGATTCTCTATTTGGTACTAACTCAGGAAGATTTTCCATAGTACCATTCTAGAGGACCTAGTGGGGATTCTCATATAGTGCGCCAAGGGGTTGTTGAGTGAGTACATGGACATGGTGTGCGTGGAAATAGTGCGAGAGCTTCTTCACCATCCAGATAATGGTAAGTACAATCATTTAATTGGAGAGTATCTGAGCTCCGCCTCTCTCAGCACTTTGCTGACATAGAAAATTGCCCAATGAGTCGCAATTGATACAGATGTACCGTGCTTTTAGGACGGCGGTGAGCTTGAGGCTATTGAGGATGACCTCATACTCTGCTTCATTGTTAGAGACCCTGAAGTTGAAACACACAATGTTGTAGGCTCTGAAACCATCATATGCGATGAGGACGCCACCACCCCTACAAGCTATTGAGGTCAAAGATCCATCAATGTAGAGGATCCAACAGTCATCGTTGTGTGAGCCTGAGGTGCTGGGGTAGGTTCTATAACAGTACATTTTGTTACAAAGTTGGTGAGGGTATGTCCTTTGATGAAACGACTCAGCTTGATCTCTGTTTGGTACTAATTCAAGAAGATTTCCCATTTCACCATTCTGGAGGAACTAGTGGGGATTCTCATATAGTGCAACAAGGGGTTGCCGAGTGAGTACATGGACAGGGTGTGCATGGAAATAGTGCGAGAGCTTCTTCATCGTGTAGATAATGGCAAGTACAATCACTTAATTGGAGAGTATCCGAGCTCCGCCTCTCTCAACGCTTTGCTGACATAGAAAATTGCCCAATGAGTGTCTTTGTCTTCTCGGATGAGCACAAGACTAATAGCTGTGGTGCTCACCCCGAGGTACAGAAAAAGGGTTTCCCCTGTTTTTTTGGCTTGGAGAGCACTATGGGGGAAGTCGCGAACTGGTTGAGCTCTTCGAAGGTTTGTTGGCACTCTGAGTTCCACCGGAATCCCACTGTTTTGTTCATGATTTGAAGAGGGGAGTGACCTCTTTGTCGATTTTGAGAGGAAATGATTTAGGGCGGCTAGCTGACCCGTCAATTGTTGAACCTTCTTTACATTCTGAGGGGGCTCCATGTTCATGATGCCCCTTCGTGAGGGGGCTCTGATTTTCTCCGGATTGGCCTTGATGCCCCTTCGACTAACCATGTAGCCTAGAAAATTGCTTCCTTGGACACTGAAGGTGCGCTTTTTTGGATTCAGGTGCGGATTGAACTTCTTCATGATCTCAAAGATTTCTCGTAGGTCGTCAATATGGGTAGATGATTGTTTTCTCTTGACGATCATGCCGTTGATGAATGCCTTCATCATCCGGCCGAGGATGGCTCTAAACAACTTGGCCACCATTCTGGTGTAAGTGGCGTCGAAGTTTTTTAGTCCAAAGTTCATGACGAGGTAGTAGAATATTCCATCTGGGGTAATGACTGTTTTTTTGGCATCATCATCGTGCATGAAGATCTGGTGGTATCCTCAGAATACATCAAGGAATGACATCAGCTCGCAGCCCACCGTCTTGCCCAGTATGTGATCAACGTTAGGGAGAGGAAATGTGTCCATAGGGAACACCATGTTGAGGTCAACATAGTATGCTTTTTATTTCATAATTATTCTTCCAAGAATTAAGAACGAACATATGACTATAGTAACTGCTAAGAGCAGTGGATAAAAATTTGACTTCTTATACTTTAATGAACATAATATCAGTTTTAGTAACCATTGCTATGTTAGAGTTCATAAATCATATTTATGGAAAAATCCTTTCTCTCAATCTCTCCATTACAAATCGAAATGAATTGAACTAAAACTGAACGGGGACCAATGTACACATACATAATTCAAACATGGATACTTGCACTTTGTGAAATCCAAGAAAGTGGATGTGGTAAATCTCGGGGCCAAACTAAACCCTGACCCATCCAAAATCTAAAAAATGCATTATTTTTTTATGTGAAAATATTCCGTGTAATCCCCCCAAATATTCTTTATATCAGTCCAATCCGGTCAGTGCTCTTGCTCCGCCCTTAGAGGTAATAACAATAGGCGGAGCGCATGGGTTATATGAGGGTTAAGAAAATGAGTTTAACATCGAATTTATAATATCATTTATTATTCATCTATCGACTTGCAATTTGAACGCAGGCATTCAAGAAGGCAGTGAACTTGGGTTTGGGGGACCTTGATTGTTCAGTTGTGCATGAGGTCATGCAGCATGACCGACCCATACTTAACTCAGATATGCAACTTAATTAGTTTGGATGAGGATCTCACAGACAACAATAAAACAAACCTTTAGAAAACCTTTGAAGGACCTGTTTGGTTCAAGAGATGTCAGATTACTTTGAACTGTTAAATTTTTGGATATGTCAGATTGATGGATTATTCAATTTGTATACCATTTGTCTTTAGTTAAGGTTAATGACTATCACATTAATTTATTTGGTTGAATGATACTACATCTGTTACACTAACATTAGGACGTGAGAATGTGGTGCGATGATTAATAAAAGTGAGTTTATGTGATTGATATTAAATGAAATCACATTTTGTTGAGAATGAAATCACATTTTGTTGAGAATGAAATCACTCTAAGGAGCGAGACGCTCAGCCCTCTCTCTAGATTCTCCACTCGACTTTCTTCTTCGGTCCACCTGAAGCCAGTGCGGCAGCGATGCCGCCGGTGTAAGGGAGCGGCCAAGAGACATCGCAGGCGAAGAACTCTTATGCAGCGGTGGTTAGGGATGCTACCACCGACCTTCGATTGCACTCACAGCCATGCTCCTTCTCAGATGTGGGAGACCTGGGGTCGTCTGGTAGCTTCAGGGGCTTCTTCCCGTCGGTTACTTTCTCAAACAACGACTTACAGGTTCCCTCGCAACCTTTCCGATTTGCCCTGGTCAGTACGTTTCCTTTCGGTCGCCCCCCATCCCTGCGATTCGTAAGGCTTTTGAAAAGATAGGGTTTTTACAAAATTATTCGGTGGGGTTGATTCAATCAAACATTATTCTTATGAACTTCCAGTCAGACCTTGATTTTCAAAAATTTTGGGAGAAAAAATCCTGGGATTTTTTTGGGTACCAGATGGACACCCAGCTTCTCCGTTGAACGGGACTCACCCCTAGCCCCTGTCTAGATCTCCCTCGACGGACTCCCAGTCCACCTACACGATTTAAGAGCTCTTAACTCTATTGGTAAGCTCTTGGGCAAACCTATTAGAATTGATGCTCCTACTGCACACTTCTCCAGACCTTCTACAGCCAGGTTGTGTATTGAATTGGATATTTCATTTGATATCCCCAAAAAGATTTGGATCAGCAATGGTGATTTGGGCTTTTTTCAGAAAATTACGTATGAAAATCTTCCTATTTTCTGTAAAAAATGCTCTAGGTTTGGCCACCTTGTTATGGACTGCCCCCAGGCCACCATAGATTTAGTGCCAACTCAACAGGCTGTGGTTACAAAAAATTGTGCCCCTGTTATTGGCAAAAAAAACCTGCTGATATTGCCCCTAAGACTATTTGTGATGCTATTCGTGATTCTGTTGTGTCTGCTGAAGCCTATTCTGAAACTATAGCAGCTATCCGATTGTTGGAGCCAGTTACTGATGCAGCCCCGGTTGCTGCAGCTCCTGGGAAAAATGCTATGGGTGTTATGGTTGTCTCTGAACCAACCTCAATCCCAAATGAAACTGCACTTTCTGATACTATCCCCTTTTCTGATACTGTTGCAGTTCATAAGGAGACTGTATCTGCTATTGATGCCCCTTGTATCACTGATCTTGCTACTGTTGTAGATGCAGCCCCGGTTGCTGCAGCTCCTAGGAAAAATGCTATGGGTGATATGGTTGTCTCTAAACCAACCTCAACCCCAAATGAACCTGCACTTTCTGATACTATCCCCTTTCCTGATATTGCTACTGTCCCTAAGGAGACTGTATCTGCTATTGATGCCCCTTGTATCACTGATCTTGCTACTTATGAGGCCCCTTTTGATGACACAATTCGTGCTAAGGTTCCTGTCCAGCATCCAGTGGCTATAGATGAAACCCCGGTGGCCACCCTTAACGTGGCGGTAGTCGAGGAAATTCATCAATCGGCCACCTATGGTGCTGGCAAAGTTTGGTTTGATGCCAGAAAAGGAAATGAAGAGATCCTCTCTGGTCCAAAGATTGACTGTCCAGTTACTACACATGTCCCATTCATGTCCAATGATGAAACCATTTCTGAGGACACCCAAACGCTAACTTTTTCTGTTTCAGGTCAAACAGAGATCGACGAAGAAAACCTCAAAGGATTTACACAGGTAGAAAGAAGAAGAAGCAAAAACTCAAGCTCAAAATACTCACTTAATGAAGGTACAGAAGATGTACAACTATTCTACGATGTGGGATATTCATCTCACCCCATGATCACCAGGAGCCACTCAAGAAAACCTCAAAATGAAACAGACTACTATCTCTACCAAGTTGACGAGAGGTTCGACTCACCACACAAACTAGAGGCAGCTCTTCGACGCTTCAAATTGACTCATCCGGAGGAAACGACTTACAGGCCTTATCTCAAGAGAGCCATCAGATTTCATAACAGATACAATAGATCCCTTTCAGCTTCAATTGGAATCCCCTCACAAAATTTCAATTGTTGATGTATTTTCTATTTCTTTTCATTTCTCTTATGTTCCATCAGTTGTAATCTCAATTCCTTTTACTCAAACTTTATTTAAATAAATTAGGGAGGTGTTCCCTGGCACCCCACCACCTAGTGTGATTCTTACGGGGAAAAAGTGATTTATATTGAATTGATAAAGTAAAAATAATGTATGAATCATTTAGAACTAACCAAATTTTAACAAATTTGGTATGAGACAAAATAGTGAGACACCCCAAGAGAGAAAGATGAGATAATCTTAGTAGGACGGGCGGAGAAAATATCTTATATTACTGATTTGGTGATTTACTTCAATGCCCTTTAAATATTCTCTTCGCATAGTAATATTTTAAAAATTATATATAATTGAAATAAAAATTATTTACAAAACCTGACTAATACGAAGTAGTTATTACTACATACTACGTATAATATAGTTTCATAGTCACTTAAGTGTAAAAAGTGAACATAAGTTACTCGACTAAAGTTATTACACTTAAGATGTCATGTTTTTGTAAACAGCCTTTATTTTAGACACATATTTCGTATGTAATTATTTCTAAACTTATTACAACATGCATTTAAATTAATTTAAATTAAAGAAAAAAATGAAATATGTTAACGATAAGTAATATCAAAACTAATGAAATGCATTATTTTTTAAGCAAAGTATGATTAGTCAGACAAATGACAAAGATACACACCGTAGATCTTGCACACAAAGGTAAAGATTGGTGAACATTCACTAGTACCAAAAAGGTTTTTCACATCGGTCAAAAAAGACTTTTCACATCGGTCAAACAGTCGATGTGGTTCCAGCCCATGTGAAAAGTATTGACTTTTCACATCGGTCAATGAACCGATGTGAAAATTCTTTCTACATCGGTCGTTCAGTGCCCGATCTAGAAGATAGTCCAAAACGGCGTTTTAAATGATATTTCACATCGGTTATAACCCATGTAGAAAAGCAATCACATCGGTTATTTTACAAGTGATGTAGAAAAGATTCAATTTTTCCCGAAGCATAGGTTTTTCACATCGGTTATAACCCATGTAGAAAAGATTTCAAATCTTCCAGTTTATCAACAGATGTGAAAAGCTTCATTTTTCCAGAACATATGTGTTTCACATCGGTTATAACCCATGTAGAAAAGCAATCACATCGGTTATTTTACAACTGATGTGAAAAGCTTCAATTTTTTTGGTATTTTTCAAGAAAAAATTTGCAATATGACCCCGTTTATACTATAATCACATCATTAACAGTATCATCAACTACTATAGCACAATTTTTCACATGTTCACTTGATCCATCTAAAACAATAGCACAAGCTATTTTTCAATTCTTTCACAAATGTTAAACAAGTTCAAGTAACAACTTAGTACATAATAATAAGCTAAAATAAAACAATCCTTGCACAAGTCTAGAGTAACAACACATTGTATAAAGGTACAAGTCTCATCATCACTCAAAAACTTAAATAAGAAATATGATGCCCAACGAGTTCATACTTCATCAATCTTTTCTGATGAGAACGGTTTCGGATTGGCAAATCGCTACAAATTATATAAGAGGGTTATTAAAAAACATTACATGGAGCAAACCTATTGAATGTAAATAAAATAATAATGTACGTCATCCCACATTTAAAGAATTACCGCCGAAACAATATTCAACATATGGATCATCACATAATAACCACATTCATAACTCCCAACTTGCATTCGAGACTACATGTTAAAACAACATAATTACTAATCATAATTACCAACACTGATTATGATGAAGATGATACAAAGTGAGCAAACAAACTATTTCACAACTTACAATATTGTGGATGCTTCAGGTATGGATAATTACTCACAGGTCTTTTAGCGGGAGTTGAGACAAAAGAATGACTGATCCAGTGAGTGAGTTGTTTTGCAGAAACCTACAATTATTCTCTTTCAGGTGTTTAAGTTATTCAAAATGGGAGAACGGATCATGCTATTGTGAATAAACAGAGAAATAAAGTTACAATGATATCAGGGTTGTTAACCCTCCAACTGAACAAGGTAGATCTCCGGTGTGGTTATTGTGTGATAGATCCCTCAGATAAAAAATACATTAATCATTTCATTAGTTATCAATATAAAGTGACGAAGTACTAGATGACTCATCTGTAAAGCTTGAATATCAAATGCATAGTTTGGTCACAATATTCACATCTCAATTCTGTCAATTTTTATGGTTTCAGTAGTAAGACAAAAGAAAAGAAATATCTAGAATGATAGTGTACATCTCTCTCAGATTCCCCAAGCCACTAAAATCTCCCAATTGTCCAGATAAAGGCTTCTTAGTAATTATAAGCTAGAAGCATACAATAAAACCTTATGGCGCGCCTCGCCTATTTCCAGGTATATAGCGTAAAATTGCATTGCATATGCGGACATGATTAAAGCGTACGTTATGTGCGTAAAGGCGTACACAATAAAACCTACGCAATGAGGCGTGCTAAGGCGTACCCTAAATGAGGTATGTTGTGTAAGGTTTTTTTGGGCCTACAGAGCCCACTTTTTAATAAAACACATATCCGGTTGAGGGTATATACCATAAACGGCGATATTATTTTCATATCATGCGCAATTCTCTACGCAATAACCTTTTCTTCCCTGCACCTTCTTCTCACTTGACTACTTAGCTTCTTCAGCCTTCATCTTTCAGACACTCCTCTTCTATGCTACTGCTTCTATGTTTGATACTTATGTTTTATACCTTTTTTCTATTGAATTTAATACTAAATATTATTGTTAATTTTCTATAAATATTCTTCAACTTTTAACATTTTCGGCTAATTGATATCTTCTTATTTTTCATCGTTTAAGTTCAGCATACCACTACGTTCTTTCAGTTTTTATATTTAATGATAACTTCAACTTTAATATTAATATAGTATTTTATTTAATTTAATAGTAAATATTGATGTTAACTTTATATTTTGGTTCAAGTTTCATGAAATCAGGTGAAAACCGCATTCATAATATGTTTGGCGAAATTTCGGGTCAATTGCGTGAAGAAAGTTGCATTTTTTCCCAACAAATGAATTGCTACGGAAGTTTGAAAGATATGTTGACCAATTTTTCAAAATGAAGAGTCCACAAGATGAAAAAATCATGAAAGGAAGTTCAAAACCAAGAGGAAGTCGCCTAAATGGCCACTTTTGATGAAAATGGACGAGGCATAGAGACACATGTTCGTATTTTGATCATAACTTTGCGCATGATTGCTCAACGTTCGTGATACGAGTTGCATTACATTGACATCGTCTTGCTCTACAACTCTTATGAATAACACAGAACCAAATAACAATCTTAGAACGGACATATTGCTCAAAGAAGTCAGACATTTGCAGTTGCGATGAAAAGTGACACATGCTCACCGTTTTGGTCATATCTCATAAACTACAAATCCAATGAATGTAATTCAAAAACCAGTAGTTAGCCAAGAAAGAGATCTACAACTTTGTTGAAGACAACTTTTATATTTGACGTGAGGCGGTTGATAAGGCGGCCGCCTTTCTGGGCGCCTACGAGTTTTTGACAATTTCAGCACACAAGGCTTTGCATGGCGACAAAATAATGGAAGGCTGCCGACAAGGGCCGGAAGGCGGACGCCCTCCGTGGCCGCCTGCGACGCTATGTGACTTTTGATCTGCCGGTCGCTGAGACAAGACGGGAGGCGGCCAAATAGGCGGCCGCCCTCCACGGGCGCCTGCGGCGGATTTGACGCGTGCTCGCAGCTTTGTCGATGATTTGATGGAAGGCTGCCGACCATGGCCGGAGGGCCGCCGCCCTTCTGGACGCCTTCCACAAAACTCCAGCTATAAAATCTCTCTTCCATCCCCAACTCAAAACACACCTCTTCCAACCCTAATTCAGTTCAAAAAGTTCCAGTTCTTCAGCCATTTCCGAGCTCCAAGGACTTTTGGGAGAGAGAAATTTCAAATCTTCATATTTTCTTCATTTTAGCTTCAAATTGTAAGTTCTTTATATGTATTTTCATCCTCTCAACGAGTAGAATCTGAATCTGTGCTTTGTTTTCTCGATCTGTTCTTCGAATTTTCCAAAATATTTATCTAGTATTTCGCATTTTCTTCCATAAATTAAATAAAATAGTTGTTGATGTTGAATTCATTCCAATTAATTATATAGTTGTTCACTAGCCTCAAGGTTGTTATTTATCTGAAGAAAGTTAATTTTCACGAAGTACAAGTAATTTTTAATTAATTTCGGTAATTAGTTGTTATTATTGCATAAATTAAATTAATTACACAAAAATAGAAAAAAATAGTCTCGGCCCTAATTCCAGTTTATTTCACTGTAATATCATCCCCAGTAGTCAATAGAAAATTTAGAACGAACTTAGCCTATTTTTAATTGCCTTTTGTATTTTATAGTTAAAAGTGGGAAAATTATCAATTAATTGTTAAAATTGGATTTTAGGTTTGAAAATTTGTAAAAAAAATTCCAGAAAGTCATATTGTAGTTCCTGAAAGTTTATTTTGACAATATGTTATTTTTGTTTAATTTTTGCTATTATACATGTTTAATTCCTTGTTAATGTTTAATTTATTTACCATATTGTTGAATGCAAAAATAATGTATAGTAGCTAAATTTGTTTTGGGCATGAATTGAGTAAAGGAATATGGATTGACTTGTTAGCCTAAAATTAGGGGTTAAAATTAATTAATTGAGCTAGTTATTCAATTTGATGAATTAGTAATTAATAATCGTTAGCCAATTTCATTAATTAAATTTTGGAAAATTATTTCTAACTTGTCTATGAGATTAGAAAGTAATTTGAACCAACTTTATTCAAGCACATTAATAAGGCCTAGAAATAGGATAATTTTAATGAAATGGATTTACATCTTGTCTATGAGAAATAAATTCAAATTGCTTAAATAATGAATTTAATTAGTTAATGAATTAGGCTATTTTTATTAATTAAAATTTTGGAGAATTATTTCTGCCTTGTCTATGAGATTAGAATTTAATTCAAGCCAACCATTTTTGAATACATTAATGAAACCTAGAAATAGGATAAATTAATGAAAGTAATTTCTATTCTTGTCAATGAGAAAGGAAATTATTAGTCCAATTTTAGTTTAAATTCCCCTAATTACTAGGTCCAAGAATATATCCATT